TGAGTTTGTTCCACGGTGGAAACAGGGAAGAGAGCTTAAAAGAAAAATTTTGAGCTTTTATCTTTTCAGCGGCCAGCTAAAACAGAAGCTGCCTATGTATGTTACCTGGCTTCAGAGTTGTAGTGACAAGAATTACAATGACAGCGACGATTACGCAGTGCATGCACTTTTGGTCTTGAGGAAGAGGGCACATTCCATCGTGCGAGCTTGAAACGTTGGAACGCTATTGGCAGCGGTGTCGAAATTCCATTTTCGCAGTTTTAATTTTATTTGAAAATGTAACTAAATTGTGTACAGGGTGCGGCCGTAAAAACTTTCATGTTTGGCACGCCTAGCAAAAATCGAATTTCAAACATACATACCTGAAATTGGGCACACGAACGTCATTTATTCCAAAGTTCTTTGCCTATTTTTTTTTTTCAGATGTCAACTCGGGAGTAGCGAATTATTAGAAAGATAAAAAAAATGGCAGACATACATTTCCTATGGCCTATACCCGCCCGTTCGCCGTCTGCAATCTGGTTCACGACGCCGCTCCCAGGTGCCACACTGAACGCAAGAGCGCGGGGAACACCGCACGAAAGGCTGGCATCGGGCTAGATAACCACAATGAAAAGTGATTTTATTAAAATATATGAACGATTCTCGAAATTACCTGTTTCAAGTCAAGTTTTGACAGATCATCATGCAAGCAAGAGGACACCATGATGTGACGAGATCATTTATTAACAGTCTGGAATAGCAAGTGGTGCTGGTACCGTTGCAGACAAGTTTGTTTTGGTGTTTACAGGGCCACTCTAACTCACAAAGTAATTTTTTTTCATACAGTTTGGGTATAATTAACACACACGTCACAAGACATATTTGTAAAAATAAAAAAAAAAGAAATCATAATTATTGGAGCCATATTTACGGCGCTAGAGTCATTTCGGGGGGCCGGTGATAAAATGGCTGGTATTTGAGAGAGATGGTTGTCTTTTTGCTGGTTTCCCATTGGTACCTCTATCAGCAGCCTCTGCTATGCTCTCCGCGTGCCGCAAGCAGCAGGAGAGGCAAAAGTAAGAGGGAAACTAATAGTTTATATTCCGTCAGGAAGTGGAAGTTGTGCGTTCATTCAATTGTTTATTCTTGAAAAATACATCTTCTGATACGCCTCTTCTGTTACGGTGATTTGAAATAATTTTGATGCTGCAGCGGCCCTTTAAACGACTAGGGTTCGGCCGATCCGATGTGCCCGCCGTTCACAGACAGGCAAAGCCGAAGTTGAGTTTCATACACCAGGATGCCCTTTCGCACATCCCATCGTCGATCTCGAGGAACGCACCCTCAATTTTTTTTAGCTTTTCTATGCTGGGGATCCTCTTCTTGTAAACAAGTCCTTCTTTTAATCCCCATAGGAAAAAGTCACTCATATTTAAGTCGGGGGATCGTGGAGGCCAGTTCATATAGTCTGATCCCCGACTTATCCATTATCGAAGGAATGTGTTATTGAACCATGCCCTCACAGTCTTTGCGTAATGGGGAGCTGCCCCATCCTGCATGAATATACAGTTTTTGTTTGTCATGTGGTACCTTTCAAGCTCAGGGAGCCTTTCTGTTTTCAGCATATTTAAGTGGGCATCTGCGTTAACAGTGCCATCGAAAAAAAAGGGGCCCACTATGCCTTCATGCCAAATCCCACTCCACACTGTCACCTTCGGTTAATGGAGATGCCGTTTGTCCACGGCATGAGGGTTATCGCGAACCCATATCCTGCTGTTCTGGCAGTTCCCACGTCCATCAAGGTGAAAGTTTGCTTTGTCTCTAAATAAAAGAAATGGCAGGTGCCCCGGGTTGCTCTTAATTCGCAGCAACTCCGCCTTGCAAAATTCTAAACTGCGGACGTTGTCGCCGTCGTGCAGGGCTTGGACAACTTGCATCCTGTACGGGCGCAAATTATTTTTCCGCAGAAACCGTCGTACGCTTTTTTCCGAAATTTCAAAAACCTGGCTGCTCGTCTTGTTGACAATTGTGGGTCACTCTCGAAGACAGCAAGCACCGCTTCAATGAGCTCCTCATTTTTCAGCAGGCTCTCACGTTCACTGTCTTGATTCTTCTTTTATATAGCACGTGCAATTGCAAGCTTGCCAGGTATATTCCTCCGCGCTGACACCAGTCGCGACGTCTTTTTTGGACCTTTCTGAAAATGGCGAGAGTGCTCATGTGTAGCTTTGATGGGTGCTGAACGTGCGCAGGAGCAGAGATTCCGCAAACTCCTTTTATGATGTGACGCTCCGGGAAGGAGGGGCTTCGGCGGTACTTTGAAAATTATTTTCTGCGGCCTCTGTGTGCCAAATGTAAAAATAATCTCGATATTCATGATCCTGGGGGCCGAAGGAAGACAATTTAAATGTTTTTACTCAAATTCAGAACCACTTCAGTTTTCCTTGGGGAGGCACGGCTTTGGAATCGGTTTTTTAAAAAAAAGTCACGTTTTTGGAAAATAGGTTGACCAGCTTTTAGAACTTGTAAAGAATGCTGTCCAAAAGTTTTATTCCTGTAAGTAAGTTTCAGCGCTTGTGTCGTTTGCACCTTCCTCTCGTCCTTGTGTATTTTTTGCGCGCTGTTTATTTCCGTTTTTCTGTAAGTAAAGTAGTTACTCCGAAATAAATTATTTTCGACGTGCTGGTGGGCATGCATTTGCGTCAACGACGCGGCCGATCACACAGATTTGCAATTTTCGAAGCCCACTCCCTTCGCGTCTCTTAAAACTAGCATGGACCGGCACCTTTTGTTGGAATGAGCATTTCGCCCCCGTTTGTTCTGTTTGGAGCATTGTTAGTGATAATGTGCTCACAGACCACAAAACCCTGTAGAAAACGTAGCTGTGCACGCTCTTATTGGTCACGTTGGTGAAACAAGACCTCTGATTTACTAGGACAAGCCACAGGACGTCATAATCATCTGCTAGCGCGCAATTTCGGTCAGTCCTTGACTGTTTGACTTTTTATCGCCACGATGCCAGCGACTTTTCTGGTTAAACAAGACCTCTGATTTACTAGGACGAGCCATGGAACGTCATAATCGTCTTCTAGCGCGCAATTTCGTTCAGTCTTTGACTGTTCGAATTTTTATCGCCACGATGCCAGCGACTTTTCTAAGCAAATTTTCGCCATTCTAGTTCGGTCGCTGCAACCGGTTTTCGAAGCGAAGAAGACGAACGCCCAAGGAAGACAACGGGAATGCATCTTTCCCATTTCCAAGCGCTCCGCCGTCGCCGAGTGCCTTGGAATTGCCCATCGCTTCACTGCCTTCCGCTGATCATCGTGAATTCAGTCACCCAAGACCATCGGCGTCTGCATCATCCTTGCCGGTGACCAAAATCTCAAGCGAAGACGACCTCACAGCAATCGAGCGGAAGATTGCAATTATGGAACGAAAGGCGCCCGCAGAATGTTTTGAGCCCAACGATCCCGAGAAGCAGCTAGGCCTAACCGAAAGCGAACAGCTCAACAGTTACCGCTTGCTTGGCGTATCCTGCATTGCAGCTTTAGTGAGTGCTTTGCTGTGCCCTGAGTGCGTGAAATCTTCTCTCGGACTGTCTAAGGTCGGGAAGGGCATCCACCTCATGTTTGTTGCCCTGTGCCCGACTTGTGGAAAAGTCGCGAGAGCTCCACACTCGGTGAATATTGGTGACACACGACAGAATTATCTCGCAGTGCGCATCGGTTTCTCGTGACACGACTGTGGTGTTAACTTCACGAAATTAACTCATCTTTTTACCAGGATGAATATACTGCTGCCGATCTATCTGAAGACGTCCCAGAAAGTTGCCGCGGGAAGGTACATGGTGCAGCCATGACCGCCGCTGCAAATGTGATGAAGACGGCTGCGCAGTCGGTGCAAAAAACGGGGAAAGCCAAAGACGGGGAACTCCTAGATGTGTGCACCATGTACGACGGAACCTGGCACAAATGCGGCCACATGTCCCACTTCAGTTTTGGTGTCATGATCGAACTTAAGAGTGGTCTTGTGCTGGACTTCAGCGTCCACACCAACTACTGCCAGCTGTGCACCCAGGGACCAAAGCCAGGCACAGAGGGTTACACGGAATGGATGGATGACCACCGACCCAACTGCCAGAAGAACTTCAATGGGTCTGCTGGTGCCATGGAAGTGGAGGCAGCCACTGTTATTTTTGGCCGTTCAATCGAAAAACACGGTACGCAGTCCATGTCGCGAAGCGTATGTATGCAGGCCTGAAGCCCTGAGGAAGGCAAAGAAGGGACTAGGTGAGAAAGGGAAGCTGACAAATCTGAAAATGGAGCAGCTTACCAACTACTATGCTTGTTCGCCTGACGTGACGGCCATGCAGCGAGGAGTGTTTGCAAGCCTTCTGCATTGATGCTCCACTGACGAGGAGCCGGGGCATGTAGGTTGCCCCACCGGGACGGACTCCTGGTGCCACTATAGTCTGAGCAAGGTCATTCGGGCCGACGATGGTGATGGTGGTAAAGTGTTTCTCAACAAGCTCATTGGTGTTTTCGTGGTCGTGAACACCCATGGGCATGTATTCGTGAACAAGAACCGCATTCTTATGACCTCCAGTGGTATTAGTGAGTGTTTATTCCTTGCGAAGCATGTAAATGTTTTAAAATTACTCCAAATCGGATGTATTTTATCCCCAAATATTACTCAACTGCACCCTTTTTGCTAACAGTGTGGTGGTTACAAGAAGGAATGACAACAATGAGCAATTACAACAATCACAATGTTGGAATCGATGGAGGGCGGGTGTAATGCCATGGCTTTATTTATTTCTGCGACAAAACATACAGCCCCTGGGTTATTGGGTTGATTCTACAGAAACTTCTTTCTGCTTTTATTCGAAGTTCTAACTGAAGTCATGCAAACTTCCAGATTGCTGCCAAAGCTTGATTCAAGCTGGTTTAGTGGATGTGTCCCATTGCACCTTCTCGTGCGTGTGAAATGACCGGTGGCCCGTTCCTGCATCATTGCAGAGGTGGCCCACGAGATGCGCTGCCTTCGCCGTTGGCTCAAGGAGCTGGAGGCCCGCCTTCCCAACCAGATGGCCGTCTCTTCCAGCTGGAGTGTGCCCGAGATACAGGACCGGCTGCAGGCACAACAGGTCCGTGCACTTTCGCTCTTCCCAGAACCGACCGCTTTAACGAGTTCGATCCGCTTCTGGCACCACGTCACTGCGCTGCGAGACTCTGTTCGCAGTTCCTTGAGGTCAGGGTTGGGGCAGCCATCGTGGCATAGAGGTTGCGTCAGCGCCATCAGGGTGCAGAAAAGAGGGTTCATACATTGTGTGGTCCCTTGCCCAAGGAGTATTTGGGGTCTTGCTCGTAGCCTCAGTTGCTTTGCAATGCAAGACCACCTCTTCCCATTTACGAGTGCAGCTCATCTTAAAGGGGTGCTCCGGCCATTTTTTGAGCTACCCAAACAAATTGCATTTTCCGACTACTTGCACTTCATGGTATGCTATTTATTCTATCGAAATTCAAAACAGCAATTAAGAAAACTGTAAATGAAGATGATGCCGAAACCAGCATTTAGATTTTCGCACGCTCTCCAGTGGTGTGACGTCGCAAATGGTACAGATTTTCGGGTTGTACAGGTAGTCTTAAACAGAGAATGCCAATGATTTTTGCGTGCTTGTCAATGAATCAGCTACCAGGCATTCTTTTCCCACCATCAGGCTTCTTGTAACCAGTTGGGAAGATGGCTTACTGCCCACTTGGTACCATTTCTGTCGTCACACTTCAATGTTGCCAGTAGGGGCTCCCAGTTTGAGAAACATGATGAAAACAAAATTCAAAAATTCAATAACTTCGCGAAATGTTTTTCTTTTCACAAAATACTTGGGGAGCTGGTAGAGCCATGTCTATCCGTGTGTTGAGCCAATTTTGAGGCAAATCAGCGACCATGAAAAAATCACCAGAGTACCCCTTTAAAACGTGTACCAGAAATACACCATCCTACACTTGTGTGCCCTGCCCTACGCTTGTTTTGCACTGCTGTCGACCAGTGCTTGTAAGCCGAGCATGCCCGCTGTCGTTGCATTCTTAAATTACTACCTTGAAGCGGTACTCTGGCGAGTTTCTTAGTTATCCCAGCTAGCTCTACGATCGCGGAATTTGGAATAGTTAGTGTGAAATCGGCAAATAAAAATGATGTCAGAACCAACGTTCAAATATACCTGAGCTTTTCAGTGCTGTGACATCAGTGGCAGGCAGGCTCGCCAATCGAGTGGGCAGTCTAAAAAAGGGACTATGCCATGCATGGGTGCTGGAGCAAGCTTCGAAAGCATTTATTTGACACATTGAAACTGCTTGAAATCAGTTGGGAACAAATCTTACAGTCCAAAAAGTGAACCCCTGCCTGCCACTGGCGTCACTTTTTCGCTGTTGCATTGCCAGTAGAGACTTTCAGTTTGAAAAACACAATGTGGACCAAAATTGTAAACTCAATGAATTGGCAAAAAAACAATAATTTTGGCCTAAACTTTGGGATATATTGTTTCAGAGGTGTGTGTTTGTGTGTATATGAAATTTTCAGACAAATCAGGGCCACGAAAAAAAAAAAAGACGCCGAGTACCTTTAGGAATTATAAAGACGATTTTGAGCTTTTTTTTTAGTAAAGGCTGTTTTCTGACTTCCTAGGGACTTGGCAATATGCTCAATATTTTTATACAGTTTTATGAAGACTATTATTTCATATCAAAACAAATCAACGAAACTGAAACTGATGTTTGACTTCCATGCCTGACAACCTCTCCTAAAACGGAGGTGGCATCAGCAGTGAACCGTCCGTTTCGGTAGAATTTTCTTGGTTTAAAACAGCACGACAAAACAAGGGCAAAGTGCAGACGAGACAGACAACAGCGCCGACTATGAACCAAAAGTTTATTTTCACTGTTCTCAGTATATATATGCAAGGACAACAGCCAAATGAACAGAGTGTGAAGGGAAAGACACATAAATACAGGCAGGCTCGGCATCTTATTAGTTAGGTGATACAGTGCTGTGTCATAGCCGGTCCCTGACATGCACCAGTAAGGAATCAAATTTTTTTGTTTCCTGACTGCTGCATACATCCTTTTTACTTGCTGATTTCACAATAACTAAATAAAAACGTTTACAGAACCAAGACGCTCATCAACCAACCAGCCAAACATAGCTTTTAGCAGTAGACTTCAGTGGTCACGAGCGTAGATGTCGCGCTCAGCTGTAGCAGCGAGCGTTGTACTGCATTGCGACTGCGAGTAATGGGGACATTTGTGCTTCGTATGCCACCCGCCTAGCTACTTCTTGAATTGGTTGCCACGCTTCACACGAAGCACGGATGACCCGGTGAGCCGCAGCCGTTTGTCGACGCAGCACGGTCAAACGCATTCAAATGCAACTGCAATTTAGGATGTGTCATCTTGTATATTGATTATCGCACAATGATTTCAGTCTGTCATTTTCAAAACTAAATAGTTTGAGATTGAGATTTTGATTTCTCAGTTGATTCTTTCAATGCCTATGCAACTTATTGTTCTAACGATTTTAGTGCTGTGGCAAAATGAAAGAACAGATATATACTCCATTTTCGAGCCCAGTCTCTGGGTTTAAGGCTAGTCTCTCACCGGCGAACCTGCTAACCCTAATGGAGCGGACCGTGATTTCGATAGCTACAGCCTGCTTAGGCACAATTTTAAACACTGCCGGGGGCTAAATTCTCGTCTTTTTCCACTGTTTTTGTATTTCATGGTGTATGCATTTTCCCAGGGACATTAAGAAACCATTGTACCACATTTAAACAAACAAAAACAAACAGAAATTGTAAATGACTTTTGTTGGATGCACATGAAAAGAATGAATGCGACTGGAAATAGGACTCGGACATATAATTTAGCGAGTGTTAACATTCAAACAATATGTTGTATGTACCACATGGTGCAGCGTTATTCAAAAAAGATTTATTTGAGCTTAAATAACATGACACTACAGTGGAAGACAGAAAGGGTATGCGGCATGCGTAAGAAAAATGAAGTGGAAAGTTTCAAGAGAGGCCGAAAAACTTTGAATGCAAAACCGCAAAACGTAGGTGGAAAATCATGCTCAGCAGGTCTCCACTTTCCAAGAGAGTGGCAGAAAATTTCTAGCTGATAGGGAGCGCTAATGTCGCTGGATCTGGGAAAGTAGCACCCCCTACCAGATTTGAAATAGACAACACTAAAAAGTGTGATTTTCGCACTTGGGAAAGGCGAAGCAAGCGGGAGTTTTAAGAAAGGTGACTCAAAATTAACATGCTAAGCATAACCGTGGCGACTGTCTTGACGCAATCGGCACTCCGTCCATGTGTGATGGTGCTTTGGAGAAGAAGATTGGCTCTTTGAAAACGTTTACAGAACAAGTGGCTATGGCTCTATGGCTCTGCAATCTGCCCGCGTGTCACGTGTCTGACTGGGAAACACGAGGAATTTTGATTGTCCTTCAAACTACCCGTGGAGAAGAGCAAATGCCTCATGTGGGTTCTTTTTTTCATTGATTTTGTCGGAATGTGCTTTTCACGTTCCGACGCTAACACAGCATAAAGCACATCTACAAGCAAGCAAACAAAGCACATCTATGTCGTTCCAACGTAGATGTGCTTTGCACTTAAGCTCAAAGCACATCTACGACGGTGGGAGTTCGCACGAGTTTCATTTCGTCAACTTGAAAGCCGTAAACTTCCGCCCTTCACCGCAATTCTCAGCCTGCTAACATCAATGCACCGCAAGACCTTCACTAACTAGAAAGCTACGCCGCTGCTGCTAAAATTGCCAGCCAAAACCTCGGAAAGATTGAAATGCCAATGTGGGATAAGTAGGGTACCATGTTTTCTCTGTTTATATTTTTTTCAGTCTTTAATATTCTTTACAGATTCTGTGTTTTTGTGTAAATTGGTTTAGGTCATAAACAATTTACACAAAAAACACCGAATGTGTAGAAAAATATTTGCTTGGAAAAAAATACCCCCACATTAAAAGAAAAATGAGAAAACTTTGAATTCTAGGAATGAGCAACTAATGCAATGGTGTTTGATGACACATGGTGCAAGAGGGGCTAGAAAAGTGACGCCTACGTGGAGGGACGGTTTTAGTGACTGGATGGTTCCTGGGCCTATGTTATGTCCCCATTTCATGCAATAAATTTTTCTCATTTTGCAACTTTGAATTTTCTTCTCAGTTTGTACACTCAGTTTTCAGTACATAGAATCTGTTCTTCATAATGAAAGTTTTTATGTATTATCTTGAGGACATGTAGAGTGCAGGTATCTATTGGAATTGCAATATCTTAATTGTGTTTTTGCAAAATAAAACTAACTTCTAAAAGGCTTATTTAGAGGATACTACAGGCCATTGAAGGCCCAAGTAGGTGTGGGATACAACATATGCATTCACACATACAACGAAAACAAATAACACGACATTAAAAGGTTTACAACAACCTTCTAAAGGTATGGCTTTATGTTGTCTTTATTTTCTATTCTAGATTAGAAGATTTTACAGAGCTTTTGGCTAGTTACTAGCACTCTACACTTCGTAAGAAGCAACATGAGCTATTGCACCGTGCTCATTGTAAAAAAAAAAAAAAAAATGTGCCTAAATTTGTGCACACATTTTTGTTATGTACTTGTTTTTGTCTCTGAACACAAAACTATAGAAGCTAAATTAAAACTAATGTCATTTTGAAAAGAGAAGACAAAACGTTATAAATAGTTAAAACTTTATTATTTTAGAGAGAGAAAAGAAAGTGTCTCTTTGAAAGCAATTTGTAATGAATCTTGAGCACAGGAGCAAAGAATTAACAGATTAATTTAATTGCCACAAACGGCTGTCAAATCAAAGTCACTGAAGTCAAGCAACTCTAGAAAGTAATAATGTTTGTACCCCAAACGTGATTGTAAAAAAAAAAAATATATTTTAATGCAGAATTGCATTTCTATTGAGGCTAACTTTGATGTAGCCTTGAAAAGTGAAGTGTGCCCCGGCGACCAAGCAACGCGAGTGTCAAAGAAATAAAAAAAAAAAAAAAGGAAAGCCGAAGAGGCAGGATGGAGAAATCTGAGACGCCTCGAAAAGACTGTTTTAGCTG